GCGTGTCTGGCTTGCGGTCTCACACGCTAGACAAGTTTAGAGCGCGCGGTCGTCAAAAGGTTAATGAATCCGATGGTAAGAAAGCAAGGTATTTTCTCGCGTAGTGTTGAGCCTACATCGTATCATCAAAATGAACGGTAGTACAAGGAAATCAATCATATTCACCTAATTCAGTTTAGGTGGCAAGGTCCGAGATAGCTGAGTGGTAATAGTTCATGTCTGCATCTCTTAAGACCACGGGTTCGACCCTTCCGAAGTTTAAACTACATATTCCCTGCAGAAAATTGCAAAAATGGTTCTAGTACCAGCGTCAGGCCCAGGTTGACAGGCCGGCTGATGAAGACCCCGTCACAAATAAAATGTCAAAAGTCAGGAGTCAGAGTCAATGCATGGACGTCACCCGGCAGTGGCGCATAGAACCAACGTAGCGGACCCAGCGAATGCGCGGGACTAACGCTAAAGGGAAGAACAAAGATTCAATTTGACTGTCAAACTTTGCTGAACACAAAAATTAACAATTATGAGTAAAGATTCAGTAGGTGGAAATGGCAGATTCATAGTTTTATTCGTTACAATATTGATAATCAAGGCGCATCTACCAGTAACGCATGGATTTCAACATAACAGAGATTTCGAGGAAAGGTACGGTCAAAGAACGATCCTAAAATTGTTCTCATAATCCTTTGTTGTAAAACAATTCCGTGGCAGTGGTTTTGGATCGGATTTCCGGCTCCAGTCTTTCAATGGATATCTGAAAAAAGACATTTGACAAGGGATCGGAGATTGAGAAACAGGCCGAAGAAAAATCGCCAGCAGTCCCATGCCGACATTCTTACAAAGCCTACATACAGGCAACCTCCTATTAATATTGCACATTAGAGTTTCATTACGAACTCCCCTTCGGGTTCGGCGCTAGGAGATGGCTAAAGGTCAAGGCGATATTTCTATTATTACAATACAAATGTTTGAGAAGCCATCATCAGAGTGAACATCGAATTGAGAAAATGGTCGCGGTAAGGTCCCGTCACCCAACCCCCCCCCCCGGCATGATCAACACGACCTTGGTGTTGGCGTCAGTACATTGTCGTTGCTCCTGCTACTACCTATCGCACTACCAACTCCGCCTCTGAATTCCTCAAAAAGTCCTCGGTGGCGAATGCAGGGGGCATATGTATTGCTGTTGGAGTGGCAGGCTCTACATTTTACACCGCCATTTCATTTCCTTTATTCCCTCATCTCGCATATGGCACCATCAACAGCGCTCCTCTAGACCCTCCAAATCCCATACAATGACCCTCTTCCCTCTCACAGCCCGCTTAAATGGCGCTCAATTTCTAAAAAACTGGCGGAAGCATTTTGAGGAATCTTCGCAACTATCGCTCACTCGTCAACATAAAACTTTGCTGCGTCTACTTATATACGAGAAAGTGTCTGCCTTCCCTCCTACAGGGATGCGATACAAACACTGTTTCAAATTTCAACAGGCCATGAGTCATCACCTACTCCTCCAGAAAAAACATTTTTTCTCGTAATTAGGAGTGGCTTTGTACTGTCACAAAATTCTCCGGAAAAAAGTTGTTATTAAAACTCACAGTGCTCTCCTGTGGGAACAGCGCCAGAGCGACCGGCAAACTGGCAGCGAAGGAAAGCGTACAGACGATCGCGTTCACAAAGAGATGACGAACTGGTGAACCGGTGACCCATTTGTACCTATACAAATGTATATAAAATCACTGAGATTTGCCTGGTCGATCAAAGATTTGTCATTGACACATTCCACGCTCAGGAAATGTACACGAAAAGGTACTAAGCATCTTATGGTTAGCCGGAAAACAAAAGAAAGAGCATAAAGGATGTAGGAGACGCATACCACCCGCGGTTACGGCAACCATCAGTGGCGGTAGCAGGCAAACCGTGTGAGCAAACCCTGGCGCCCCAGCGCGAGCTTCCAAGCCTCGAAAATGGCTTATAATCGGACTTTCTAGATAGCTCTATCGTTTCTGCCTTGGAGGATGAATCACCTAGCCTAGTCGTGAAATATGCCTTTACCTCGTTTATCTCACTGATCCCTCCTATGATAAGAAATTTCCAATCTCCCCCCAATTTCGAAGTAGCATACAGGTCTCATGGGCAGCCTTATGTCCTCATTAACGTTAACCATTGTAGGGATAGAAGCTCAGGGCTGATTAGTACTATGATGCCATCAGGTCCTTCCATCGCTTTATGGAATTCTTTGTGAGCTAATCACTTTCGTGAACAATAGAATACGATAGTTGCATCATTTCTCTGGAGAGCTAGCTGTGAGATCGTATGTATTGCTATCACTTCTACGCACAATTTTACACGTCCAGTTCTACCGCAACCTACCCATCCGTTACTGCTCCCGTCATTATCTTGGGAATAAAGAAGAAACGGAACATATAGCAAATATCTTTAACCACGATCGACTGTCTATATGCCCAATTCGGACGTAGTTGCGTTTTAGGGAGGGAGTTCTTTTATGGCTGGGCAAAATTAACTACATCTGGGAAAAGTGTTAACGCGGTTGGTAAAAAGGTGTTGTGTATGCTGGGTTTTTTGTTAGTGTGCGGCAAAAGTTTCGTTAGAGTAAGATAAGGTAGACAATAGTACACTTTCGATTGACACCTCCAAAACGGCCGTAGGCGGAGAGGAAGACTTTTTTCCTCCTCTCCGCCTACGGCGTTTTGGAGGAAAAAAGTGGGTGGATGCATGTATCACTGCTCTTTGGTGGTCGGGGTAAGGAGGAGCTGTGCCGTATTAGAAAAGGCTCCTAGGACTGATGGTGGTGGGATTGTGGTGGTGGGTCGCACTGAGACCCTGAAAGGGTCGGGGGTCGCAAAATTATTGGAAAATTGCTAATGCGACGATTCAGCCTGACCAAAGCTGCAGCAGACCGCATGACGACGCGGAAAATACTGGCTAAACGTGGAAGAAACCGGAAATAAACGCCAGCCCGGAAACAGTGAACCTATTTTGGCACCATACGCAA